TAAATTTTTATTTTTCTAAATTGACAACCAAATTTCTAGTCAATGTGACAATACTTCATCATGGGTCCTAAAGTTGTGATTACCTTGAAAAATTCTAAATTAAGATCAACTAAAAAAATAAAACTAAAAAATTAAGAATTAAAATTTACAAAAGACCATGCTAAACCCAATCTTCACTTTTTTTTATTTAATTTAATTTGATATTTATATTGTCTTTTGATGAATCACCTTCTCAATTTAATAGTGTCGATAACCCATTTATCAAGCTAACCCCTAAAAAACACAAATTTCTTCTTCTTCAAACTCCCCACCTTCCCCCAACCCAATCTCGGCGCTTTTCTTCCACGCGCCTCCTTCTCTTTTTCTCTCTCTTCTTGTGTAAAACCCCTGTTAAAATTTATTCCGCCATTAAAATCCAGTTTAAGAAACTCAAAAAACTGGGGAAAGAAGAAGAAAATTTCGAAGAAATAAAACAAAAAAACCCCAGAAAAAAAAGACAAGAATTTGATTAATTTATCAAAATTCATTGATTTTTTTCACCACTTTTCTCTCTCCTATCTCTCTTTGTGAGTGATGTACAGATCTGGAACAGTAATGGCGTGGAATGTATTCAGATTTTGTACTGCTTTAAGGGGTTTAGGTTCGATCATGATCTTGCTCGTTTTAGGGGTTGTGGGTGTAACATATTACGCCGTCGTTTTGACCACTTATGGCCCTGCTTTATTCGATGGTGGTCTTGATACTCTTACTTCGTTCGCAGTTTTGTTACCATTCCATGGTTTGGTGAGTTAATTTTGATTTTTTTGAAGTTTATCTTTAATATTTTTGGTTTTTTCAGATTTGACCCTTTTAAATTTTCTTAATTTTGCGTAAAATTTGATTACTTTGGGTGCTATTGATGTTTAAATTTGATGGGTTTGAGTGATTTCTTGCATTAATTGAGAAAAACTAGCTTCCACTTTTTTGATTGATTTAGTAAGGTTGAAATTTGGGGTTTTGACTTTATATCAGCTGATTAGTTCTGTAATTTTGCTGAATTAATTTGTGGGTACCATGAATTGTGTTAGTTATGCTGAATTTCTTTCTATTTTTGTGATTTTGAATAGAAATTTAGAATGCCTTAGCTATAAGAATCCAGGATTTGTCAAACATTGCTAAATAAAGGTACAATTTGATTTCCACTTGCAGCTAGGCATGTTGTTGTGGAGTTACTTTTCTGTTGTTTTTACTGATCCGGGTGTGTACCCGCAAATTGGAGGCCTGCCATAGATGAGGAGAGAGGTGAGAATGATCCATTGACTGCGTCCGACTTCAGTGGAGTGCAAACTGATCAATCTAATACAAAAGTACGAGTTTGTCGAAAGTGCAACCAGCTGAAACCTCCTCGCTGCCATCATTGTTCTGTTTGTGAGTGCCGTTGCTTTCGTGTTCATGTTATTTCTTTTATGGACCCCTGTCAGTTTGTTATAATCTTGACATGCTGCTTAATTTTATTCCAGGTGGGAGGTGTGTACTAAAAATGGATCATCATTGTGTATGGGTTGTAAATTGTGTTGGAGCACTAAATTATAAATATTTCCTTCTATTCCTGGTATGTTTCCATTTATGACCCTTATCTGGTTCCACTTTCTTCAGTTAGTATTGCATCATTACATGCATTAGATCCGTCGTTGAGGTTTTTGTTTATGCTTGGGAGGTGTCATGGTTGTTTATTTCTTTGTAGGGAAGTTGATTTTGGCACACCACTAATTTATTTTGGCACACCCCTATGTGAGAAGAATATAGAAAACTGTGCTCTCATATAGAGGTGTGCCAAAATCATTTCCCTCTCGGTAGCATGAGATTTTTTTTTTTTTTTTTTGCTATCTAAAAATCATAAGCTTTAATGTTGGATGGTTCTCATTATCTATGGTTGTATAGAATAGTAGATATGTTCCTAAAAGGCTAACAATATGGAATTAATTATCAAAGATTTTTAATGTGGAAATTGTGAAGGGGTCAAATTTTTTAAAGTGCAAGTTTAGAGGGTTTCTTGATGAATGCATCGAACAAGAGTAAGAATGTCTGAGGGTGTATTTGTTTGGATACCAATTGTTATCTGGTTACATGATGCTCTGTGTATCTTTAATTGAGGGCAGGATCTTAATTAATTCATATATATAGTTAATATTTGCTTGTTTGTTGTTGCAATGCAGTTCTACACGTTTTTAGAGACCACTCTGGTAACAATTTCACTGTTGCCACAATTTATTGCATTCTTTAGTGATGGAGAGATACCTGGAACACCAAGCAGTCTTGCGACAACATTCCTTGCATTTGGTAATGGTTGATTAGCTAATTAATTTTGAACCTTGTTGTTTATTCTTTCTGTTAATACTATATCCTCACATGGCATAGAACCTTATAGTTGGCCTTTTTTGTGGTTGTTGCAGTCTTGAATTTGGCATTCACATTGAGTGTTATGGGATTTCTCATCATGCATATATCTTTGGTTTCTGCTAATACCACTACTATTGAGGTAAACTATTTTGTAATTCTTTTGGTTGTACTCCGAGATCTTTACAATTTTTTGCTTCTAGTACATTCGCACCGTGAGGTTGTTCTATGTTGTTGGTTTTTGGTGGCCTGGGAAAAGTTTCACCATAAGGCTTTTGCTCACTTTATTTTATGATATAGCTTTCTGGGTCTCTACTTTACCTGGATTGTCAGTAACCCATGGTTCCTATTGAAATTGGGTTTTAAGGGGCAGATTCTGACTTTTATTGGCAGTGAACTGTTTTTGATTAATTTGATTTGCCTTGTGTTGTATTGTATCTGAGTGTTCAATGGTGTGAATGGTGTGAATGTGTGATGCATTATTTCTCTACCCCCTCATAAATAAGGGAAGAAAAATGGAGAAAACTCTATTTAGTAGAAGAAAAGAGTAGTGACGGATACACTACGTTGTTAAATGTAAAATCCTCTGCAACTCTGGTGTGGTTCACTACAATGTTAGCTATTACTTTAATGATTATTCTGAGAAGGAATTTTATTTACCAGCATCTACCTTTGTTATCTGATCAGGCATATGAAAAGAAGACAAGCCCAAAGTGGCGTTATGATCTCGGAAAGAAGAAAAATTTCCAGCAGGTTAGTATGTTTGTTTGTGTGTCTGAAATGATTTTACAGTGAGTTTCAAAACTGTGAATATGCAAGTATTGCAATGTATTCTAGATTTTCTTTCATTATATTATGCTTGACAGCTTGAGCATATACAGAATTACCTTGCCAATCTAATCGCCTCCTGTATTGTCATTGTGCATGTCTTTCCTGACTAATTCAACTAACAGATTACTCCGAGTTTTTATTTATTTATATTTTTTTTTTTTTTGGGGGGGGGGGTGTAGGGAGGGAGAAAGCAATACTATGCGTATAACCTACATTTACACAAAAGAATGGGCCCAATGGGGTCAATATAGGTTTCATGTCAGTTAATGCTTCATGTTAACTTCTGCTACTATATCAGGAATTTTAAGCTTTTGCAGCATTTTGAGTAAACGTCTGATTCTTAACAGGTATTTGGAATGGACAAGAAGTATTGGCTTATCCCCGCATATGCAGATGAAGATCTACGAAGGATGCCGGAACTTCAGGGTCTAGATTATCCATCAAAGCCTGACCTTGACGCACAAGAGTTTTAAGACGTGTTGGTTCTATATCTCTGGCTTTCAGAAGTATCCCTCGCAACTAAAGATTCTGAGCTCTCATACAATTTCTTCCCTTTGTCTTTGATCAAGCAATTGGGGGATTAATTGGGCTCTGGTCTTTCTGTCAGCTCGTACACGCTTCTGCAATGTAAAAGCTATCAAGGGAAGAAACATTATGAATAGAGAAGAGGGGGAAATTCGATGATCAGAGGGAGCAGGAAAATGTAGATTATAGAGCTTTGGGGGGGGGGGGGGGGGGTGCCTCTTACATGTATGTTTTAAGTTCTAACAGTCTGATTTATAATGGGGGGTGTAGGGGATTTGTAATACAGGAATTTCTGATGTTTATATTGTGGCAAGCCAAAAGTTGAGAAAAAGAAAAAATTGCATTCATTTTATTTAAATGCCATGGCTAATACCCCCCCCCCCCCAACCAATTTTTTATTTAAAATTTTTAAAAAATTGAAATGGTTTTTTTAAATGGATGCTTGCCAAGTTGCTAGAATTATGTTTAATACTCCTTAGTTTATACCAGATGTTTCTTCCTATTTTTGTGAGAGGTTCCGGTCCGGTAGGACCATTCTCCTTGATATGTCTGCTTAACTTAAAATTACTATGCAAAAATCGACTCACATTGACTTTAGGAACTTGAATTTATTGACTTATTTCCAAGAAACTTTTAAAAAAATAAATAAATCAAAACTCCACAATTATGCTACTTTTTGTTAAAATTCCCTACATCATACCTTAGGTTAAACATACTCATCATGTTAGTACTCTCATATTTTTTTTTAACAGTTATGTAACTTAAAAATATTTCAATGCATTTCTTCCAAATATTAATTGGGTAATGTTATATGTAGCCCTAAGGGCTATATATAAGCATCAATTATATTATACTAAAGGCGAAACTTAGTAAATACTTGGCAAAATATTGTAAAATGTTTTCCCTCCAAAACCACTTACTAAAAAAAACTTATTGTAATTAAATTATGACTTTTAGTTTCTATAAAATCTAAAATAAATGTCCTTAAATATCAAATTGCCCATTATAACTATTACTCCGTATATGTTTAATTAATTTCTTTCACAATATTTCATACTTTTTACCACTAAGTCTATTTATAATATTTATATATCCATTATTTTTGGTAAAATTTATTATTTTATTGTCATTAGAATATTTAATAAATGTGCATTGCACGGGGTTTAATCTAGTTAATTATATTCTTGGAAATTGTATAAAATTAAGAATTCATGACAAAAACACGCGTAAATCAGTGTTATTAGTGTTTATATTTTGATAATTTCTTAACTTTTTACGATTTTCAAGTGTAAATTTAATGCTTATATGTAGTCATAAAGGCTATATATAACATTTTCCAATAAGCACTTAAAACTCTTTAAAAAAAAAAAAAAACCGTAAAAAAAAAAAAAAAAAACATTTAAAGCAGGGCTTTTGTAAGACTTCCTCGTCTACTTCACTAAGGTACCAACACAATGAACCTTATTCACCATTAATGTAGCTCTTCAATTTTCCCCCATTTTTATCAATCAACTTATCTATTTAATAGTAGAAATAACATATTTCAGATGCAATCCTTAATTAGGACAGTTCGATCACGATGCAGAGTAACCTCGGATTTTCTCTCCTCCATTTTGGTAACTGCTTCTTTTTTTTTTTTTTTTTTTTTTTTTTTTTTCTAGTTTCTTCACTTCCGCTTGTTTATTTTACTGAATAGTATGATTTTCTAGTAGCATAATTTTATCGATTTAGAGTACTTTTTTAATTTTGTGCGTAAGCCCTAATTTATGAATTGTAGAGCATGTTGCCTGAATTTAATTCAATTTATCCATTTTAGTAATTTTGGAATGTATTGGTTTTATTTTCTTGATTCAATTGCTCGAGCTTGTATTGCATCGATTATGTTAAAATTGTGATTGTTTTGGAGGTAAAATGGGGTCTTGAGGATCGCCTACGAACCTGCAAGATGAACCCCTAGCCCTCTGACGCCCAAGTTAGTTCCTAAACGACCTTTAATTTGAGAGTATTTAGGCCCCGTTTGGTTTGATGTTAAACCTCTACAATGAAAATTGAGTTTTCATGGAAAACCACAATTGCCAATTAGATTTCCTTGCTTGGTTTCTTACAAAAGTTAGGGAGAAATTGAATTGAAAATAGTTATGTAAAGGTGAGGATGGATAAGAGGAAAATTAAAAGGAGGAAGGAGGACAACGGGTTTTCCTTGTTTTGTAAAGGAAAATGTTTTACACAGTAGGGGTGTAATTTTCCATAACCAGGAAATTGTTTTCCATCCCTTCAAAAATCAAACAAAAGAAAAATGGGAAATCATTTTTCATGAAACATTTTACATTAAACCAACATACTCCTTGTCAAAAAAAATAAAAATAAAAACGGTAACCAACACACCCTTAAAAGGGGTATATATAGTTAACTATGTAATTATGTATGTAGGAAATCTTTGGCCCTTGCGGTGTACTTGACATCTTGTGGTCTTATAAGGCCTTTCTTGCTCATTGAGCTTATGTGGGCCGAAGTACTTTTAGGCTAAAATGGATATGTCCATTTTAGTACCCAAACAATCTTCAAAAGCTACATGCAACTACTCTAACTGATCTTCCTAATCATTTGATGTAATGGGAGTTGTGGAATGGGAGGGAATCCTATATAACAGTCATATTTCTCCTTGTTGGGGAAAGAAGAGGAAAGCCTGACAACTCAGACTTTGACGGAAGCCTTATGTTCTACCTAGTGGAGTTTTCTTAGTCAAAGGGGTTGTTAATGGAGTACAGGCTACTTATTTTCTGGTATAGGAGCTGGGAAGTTACTAAGTTATGAATGAATAGGTGCTGAACCCTGCCTACCAAGGTAATGTTATGCCTGGTGCAGCTGAAGTTGTTGAAAGATTATCTTTTTTACAGTTTGACAATTCTTGGGTTGGGGGATTCAATTAGTCAACTGTTGTGTAAATTATTTAGGTAGAGTAATAATGTAATATACTAATATTATTTCCTGATAAGGGGTAATAGGCTCCTCAACCCTCTTGAAGAAAACAATTTACTCACAAATGAGGGTAATAGGCGAGGTTAGTAGATGACTACCAACCAGGTTCCACACTTCCACCACTTAGTATTAACAACCATTATGATCACTTCTATAGTTCTATGTCTTTTTTTAGTGTCCAGATTCATTCATATGCCCTATAATTTATATCTTCCGAGCATGGCCTTGATTTCTCTCTCTCTCTCTCTCTCTCTCTCTCTCTTTTCTTGAGTGAAACTTCATTTTTCTAATAATAACTCTGTTCCTTTCAATGGAAGCTGGATGGGAGAAATTGGCATGGTAAGTCACTGCTATGTGACGTTGTTGCTTTGATAGTCTTAGGTTAATTACTTTCTTCTCTCTAAGACTTCCATTGTGAACAGTTTGAATACTCTATGGTGCTTAACTACCCCACATCTCCTTCTCTATGTCCAATTTTAACGCATGTCAGTTTCTCATTCCTTAATTTTGCTCAATATAATGATACGGAGTACATTTTAAGGCTGAATATTCTAACCATAATATATGTAGCTAACTGTAGCACTAATTCTTTGCTTAGCTTCTCAATAAAAAGGAAAAAGAGAAGGGTAATTATTTACAACGTGTCTTTTTCTATTTTTGATTTGTTTAAAGTTTTAATGGGTTGGTTATATTTGAATTGTCACAGGGAGGGAAACTTGGTCATGAATGTGCTTCAAGACATGGATACATTGCACCTTCGTTAGCTTGCTTCAGTGGAAGTGCAAAGTTTGGTGCTTTTCATGAGGCTGTTTTTTCTCAGGGTTTTCTTCACCAGAGCTTTTCTACTGCTGGCACTCCTGCAGCATCAATTACACAGGATACTACACCTGCAGAAACTGATGTGCCTACTCGCATAAAATTCAAGAGGCTTGACAAAACAGCTAGGCACATTATGCAGGTATGCATGCTTTCACTGCATATATCTTTTACGAGGAAGTTGTGTTTACTTGTTTCTTACAACATTCTGTCAGCAGATTCTGGATAAAGAAGCAGTTGAAGAGGTAAGGGGACAGAGAGAAATTCCTGATGTTAAGCCAGGGTATATTATCCAGCTCAAATTGGTATGTAAAATTTGCTGGAGGTAACTATTGATCTTGCTAACATGTTGGGATGGGAACTCTCAATAACATGTTTTACTTTGGTGTGTGGAAACAGGAAGTTCCTGAGAACAAACGGCGTATTACTACAATAAAAGGCATTGTTATAGCAAGACGGAATGCAGGATTAAACTCAACCTTTAGAATACGAAGATTAGTTGCTGGAGTTGGGGTCGAGAGTCTTCTTCCAATGTATGTAACTTTGGAATACTTCCTTGCAAAATGAAATATCTGTTTCATCCCACAAACTTTATGTGTTAATTTTACTTTATAAAGCATCAAGTTATAGACTATTACACTATAGCTGGGCAATACCAATATAAAGTCTTTCCATTCATTAGCCTGAGACATCATGCTGGGTCCTATTACGAGCTGAGAAAAGTCCATCCAAGGCCAGTAAGATTTAGGCCGAACACGCCAAAACACGAAATGGACTAGAAAAATCTACACGGGATGGATTACATCCACAATGAATGGTCCAACCACCACTTTTCTTGTGTTTGTGTGTGTTTCCTTCCCTTTTCTGGCTCTCCCAAAAACCACATTTTCCCCATTGAATTTTCCTTTCATACATCGCTACATTGTTCCTCTTTGGTAATTGAGATAAGAGTATACAAGTATTATAGTGACTTATAGATGTGAGATTATTATTCATCTATTAATGACCTGTGATTTGATGGCAACAGGTACTCACCTAACATAAAGGAGATTAAAGTGCTGGATAAGAAGAAAGTGAGGAGAGCCAAGTTATACTACCTTAGGGAAAAGATGAACCCTCTAAAGAAATAGGGACGAACTTTGTTTCAATTGTATTGAGATCATATGATTTGCCACCTAAGAAAAACCAGGGTTCATCACAAAGATCTGCAAACGCTTTGTATGTGAAATCAATGGTGACTGTGCTGTGGCATCTTTAGAATGGCAGTATCAGATAATTTTTGGGAACATTTCCCAAAACCCCTTTATATTTTTGCATAATTTCTGGGGTGTAAAGAGTGCAATCTTATATTGAGGTTTATCAATGTGGTTAGTGAATCTGATCGTCGGATGTTGACAATGTTTTGCTGTATGGCGTTTATTAAGCTGCCAGAGTAATAAAACCTTTTGCTGCCTCCTCTTGATTTCATACTGTGTTAATTTGCTTGGAAGTTAAATAATTGCATTACAGTAATGACCACAGCTGTCATATTGGTAATATTGTTACTATACTACTATGGCACCTGCCAACTCAACTTGAGCATCGGAAATGAATCAAGACTCAAAGCCGCTTTACTTAAGCTGAAGTAAAAGGTTCAAGTGCAGATGCAGAAGTGAAGGTTCAGGTGCAGATTTGATTCCTATAACATGAATCCTTCTCAGAAAGGGGGAGCCAATGACGAAGAACTGAACTTTTTTCGGTTATTTACTTGCATGAATGTTCTTTTATGTAAAATACTTTACGGCATTTTAGTTGCTGGCCTTGCTGCTTGTTTTCGGGCCATAGTTCAATCTTTCATCCTCTAGAGATACTTACCTGTAAACCCAAATTTAATGTATAGCTAGCTATTTGTTAAGCTATCATACAGGTATTATTATTCTTATATTTAACTGCACATTTTAGCATAAAATTTTTTAAAGCTAATTTAGTGTCGAACACTTGAACCACCCTTATAAATGAGATTACTACAGTGCAACATATAACACATTACATAGTTGCTCATTGAACCACCTTGATGTGCTAACAGTTTCCTTGATGTTTCAGCACAATATGTCTTTCATACAGGACAACTTATGCCTATGTGCAATATTGTGCATTTGTGCATTTGTCTTGGTGTAGGTTAGTATTATTGCGTTTTTTTTTTCTTTTTTTTTTTTTTTTTGTGCGTATGAAAAAGGCTAACATGGATAGAGCCTCATCGCCCTCAAGGTATCAGGCGCCGTACAAACAATGTATGCTCGTCCCATGACAGATTGACAGGCTAGTCCGGGTCCTGTTGAATGTACTCCGTAGCAACATAGTCCGAGCCTTTGAGTCCAATATTACATATTTACATGATAGTGAGGTTAAATGTAAGCACGTAGCTCTAGTATTAGCAAATTCAAAAACAGTGACACGCGTAATGTTGAAGTCAAATATTTTCCCGTTCTCTCTAGTTATTTCTGGTTTTTTTCTTTTTTTCCGTTTACTTATTTTCGCGATATATATAAACAATTAAACACACGAACATTTTCGAACAACAAATTTTCAGGAGCTTGTTCCTCTCTCCAGAAACTTCCCATTTCTCCAGAAAATCCAGATTTCTATCTTCAACTTTCAAGGTATTTTCTCTCTCTTCAATTTAGGGTTCTAAATCCTGTAATTTCAATGATTTAAAATGCTTCTTTGTGAACAAGAACATCAAATTCAAGTCAATTTTTGTTTACTTGTAGTTCATAGAAATTTTTGTTGCAATTTGTGTGAGGTTGTTGATTATAAGCTTGCATCGTTTTTTGTAATTTTTTTCGTGAAGTTCATTGAATTGAAGTAGTTTTTGCAGAATATTGATTATCAGTTTATACTAGAATTTTGTGTTGCAATTTGTCTGAATTTGTTGATTGTATGTTTGTACTTCGTATGTTTCACATTGTTGTAGCAAATTTGAAGTTTTAATTAGGTGATGATACCAACAAGCTGGAATAGCTCAGTTGGTTAGAGCGTGTGGCTGTTAACCACAAGGTCGGAGGTTCGACCCCTCCTTCTAGCGTATTTTTAATATGTGCCGAAAGCTATTATAAAAGGTACACCTAAGAAAGGATCAATTGAAGATTCTTGTAGGCGACAAATTGAAATGGTGGTGGTTGCGTTTGTAGAGGTTTAGACGTGCCCAACTCTAAGCCATATGTGGCGAAGGCTCAAGGCTATTATAAAAAATACACCTAAGAAAGGATCAATTGGAGACCCTTGTAGGCAACAAATTGAAATGGCGGTTGTTGCTTCCGGGGTCTTTCATCTGTGGTCATCTCAAAGGAGATTTGATGTTTCTAGCTCTATGATTGGTCAATATGCATAATTTGTGTGTTTATTTTTGGTTGATTTCGGAAGTAAATGTCAATTTGTGCTGATAATTTTAGAATACATCTAAGAAAGGATCAATTGGAGACCCTTGTAGGCAACAAATTGAAATGGCGGTTGTTGCTTCCGGGGTCTTTCATCTGTGGTCATCTCAAAGGAGATTTGATGTTTCTAGCTCTATGATTGGTCAATATGCATAATTTGTGTGTTTATTTTTGGTTGATTTCGGAAGTAAATGTCAATTTGTGCTGATAATTTTAGAATACATCCCTCATACTTCTAATAGTGATTAGTCCTTGACACCAACAAGCTGGGATAGCTCAGTTGGTTAGAGCGTGTGGCTGTTAACCACAAGGTCGGAGGTTCGACCCCTCCTTCATGATCAAAGACATAGGATAGATTAACTTATGAATAGACCAGAGGGATTATTACTAAGAACTGGGGATTCTGACTTGCTGAGTAAGGTTGAATAAATAAATTCCTAATAGTTATAGTTAAGAATGTATGTGAATCACCTTAAGCGGTTGACGGTGTTATTTGAGTGGAAGTAGAGAGTACACCCTTAAAGAAATAGAAAGATGTACAATGATCAGATAAATTGTTTGTGTTTAGTTTGGAGGAAATCAAAAGATTTACAGTTTGTTTGGATAAAAAGGGAAGGAAAAGAAGAGGAGGGAGGGGAAGATGAGAGAAGGGAAGGGAGGGGAGGGATAAAAAATGAGTTTTCCTTCCAAATCTCTCCATTGTTGAAGGGAGCAAATTGCTTACAAAATAATTCCTTCACCCCCCCCCCCTCCTTTTCAATTCCCTTCATTTCTCAATTATTATCCAAATGAAAGATACACCATCCATCCATTTCCCATCCCTTCCCTTCTCTTTATTTCCTTCAATCCAAACACACTCTTATGCTATATTTGGATAACAAATTAGAAGGGAAATGAAAGGGAGGGAAATAGGAGGAAGGGGAAAGAAGGGAAAGTGAATGAAATGATGAGTTCCATTTTCCTTCCAAATCTCTCCAATTTTGAAGGGATGGTCTTTATTAAAGGAGGAGGGAAAATGGATCCTTCCCTCCCCCTCCCCCTCCCCCACCCTCCCCCAACATATTATCTAAACAAGGAAGTTTGTCTCCATCCCTTTCCCTTCCCTTCCTTTCCTTCCATTTTTTATTATCCAAACATAGCCTTAGAGTATTATTACATATCCAGGTTTTTCATCTTGAGGTGGAGGTATAGAATCAACAAGGGTTTCACAGCACTTGCAAACAGTTTGATACAAGTTGGGTGGGTTGATAAATTTATGTTGTGTCAAACTTTGAGTAGAAGCAGCCATAGTGTGAAGAGTGAAAGTTATTCTTTTGCATTTGAGTTTTAAGTGTGAAGTCACTGATGACCATGAATTAGCAATTTGAACATTGGATATGTTGCTGAAAGCAAACTGGTTTTGTTAAGTAACTGTTGATGTCTTTTACATATTATCAGTCTAAGAATTTTCAGCCTATTTTACTTGCTGCTGATGCCTCCTTAAGTGTCGCAGCATTTAATCTTTATTTTCATTTTCTTGGGCAATTTTCTGATCTAACATTCTAAGCCCAGCCTTGTCGGTAGATATGAAGTTCTTAAGTTGAGGATACTGCTGTAAAAAGCAAGCCTTCCTTCAGTTTTCTACTTTATGATCTTTCTTTCTGAAACTTGTATGTTTATTTTTATTTTTTTATATCATAATTTGCTTTCTTAACCTTAAGATTTACTTGTATTTTTGAAGGGTAAAGATGCCGAACGAGAGGCAGCAGAGTGATTCATTTGACATTTTTGGTGGTTTTGGAAACTTTGGAGATTTTGGTGGTTCCATATTTGGGAAGAATCCTTTTGATGATCCCTTTTTCACCCGCCCATTTGGCAGTATATTTCATTCAAATAGTTCTTTGCGTGAGTCTCCCCTAGTGGTTCCACCAAGTGGACCTACCATCAAGGAACTTTGCTCTGATGATGAAGTAGAAATGGAGGATAATGATGAAGAAAGTCAGAATGCCTCTAGACCTGCCAATGAGCCTTTTGTTGATCATCCAGATGATGAAGCTGATGGTAATTCAAGTCTATCTCTGTTAGAGCTTCTGTTACTTGTGTTCTTGAGTCTTTGGAAAGGACACACTTGTCATTTTAAGCTGTTCGAACGAGTAGAATAGTCTTACTCATATTTTAAATGAATCCAGCAAAGTTTTTCTTACTATTGGAATATCTGTATTGGTTTCTTGTAGCAATAGCAGCTTTCTTTTCTATATATCATCAGTTCACTTATAATGTTTGGCACTTGGCAGATAATAAGAAACAAGTAAACTATAGGACAGACAACAACCGGAATGGAGGAGGCTCACAGGCACAGTCATTTAAAGTCCACAGTTGCAAAGTCACATATGGAGGTGTAGATGGAGTGTATTACACTAGTTCAGCTTCCAGAAGAATGGGAAGCGATGGTGTAAGTGTTTTCAATATTTTGCATGTGACATAAATTTAATGTCTTTGATACTAAGAAAACGATTTTCTTTTGTCCAGATGATCATGGAAGACTGCAAAGAGGCTGATAAGAGAACGGGTGAAGCAACACACAGGATTTCGAGGGGACTTCATGACAAGGTATGTGTTTGAACCTCAATCACCTTCATATATGGATGTTTATGAGATTTTGGTTTCTAGTGTTGTTCGACTTGTTACCATCTGTGGTTAATTATTTATTCAAAAAATTGTGGTAACAGAAGCATTTATTCTGAACATGTTTTTATAGGGCCATACAGTTACTAGGAAGCTAAATTCAGATGGCAAAGTGGACATGCGGCAAACACTGCATAATCTGAATGAAGGTAAGATCATTAAATATTGACGGCAAATGAACCCTTTAGCTGGTAGTTGGTCGTGAGTTGTTGAACATAACTTTGATTTTTTTTTTTTTTTCTTTTTCCTACAAATTTTTCCAGATGAACTTGGAAGCTTTGAAGACGCTTGGAAAGGCAATGCTGGCAAGCATCTACCACCAGGTACAGGTATGTTCAGCATCCATTTATCCACTGTCTTAGTATATGGATGATAATATGCAGTTCACTTGTGTCTGAAATAGCTCTTGAGTGATCAATATCAGCATGTTGAACTTGGAGGAAGAGAGGAAGGGGGTTGCGATATTACTGGATATTAGACTTTTGTCACTTGCAAAAGCAGAAGTGTGACTGTCGTGTGCCTTGTGTAGTTAGGACTGGGAAACTGTCATGCTCTGTATATCAGTCAAAAGCCTCACAGGATTTTGTATATTCTTGTGATCAAAAGGATCCGTAGCGTTCAACCTTCTGTAATTTGTCTTCATAAACTGCTATTACCATATGAGGTACTGTGGGTGGGATTGGTGAATCAAATCTTTGGGCAGAAGATGATCATACAATTCTGTCCTCATAACTCGAGATTCAATTATTACTTTTACAAAATTGTGAAGATAGATTTAAATTTCTAGAAGCTGTTTATTCTCTTAAGAATATCAAACACATTCTATAATTTCACAAGTTCTTAAAATCTCATCCATGATGTTTCTAGTTAGTTTTAGTAGTACGCCATGTTGCAGGACTTGTAGCTTAAGTTGACCGAACCTGGAGTAGATTAAAATTTCTAGAATTCGGTTATTCTCTTAAGAATATCAAGCACATTCTATAATTTCACAAGTTCGTTAAATCTAATTCATGATGATTCTAGTTAGTTTTGGTAGCATTCCATGTTGCAGGACTTGTAGCTTAAGTTGACTGAATCTGTGAGGTGAAATATTTTCTTCTATAATGATGCAGGATCTAGTGGCATTGGAGCGAATCGAATGTCTGACTGGGGAGTGTTTCACCTTCCATCTACAAGGCATAGAGTGGGAGATGCATGGGGGAGCAGGCCCAACAATGAAAAAGCGGCTGATACTTCCAAAGGCCAAACCAAAAAGGTGATCAGGATCCCCATAGACTAGCTCTAGATCTCTACATTTCAATGTAGAACTTGGGTTTACCCCGGGTTGTCAACGGAACTGGAGGTTCGCAGTGACTTTTAGGCATATTCATGTATAGTATCATACTACCATGGTGTATTTTAACATGGTCGGATTTTCTTTAGAGCTCTCTATTTATTGTAGAGTTTGATTGGGAGATTTTATCCATCTGTTTGAAAGTGATTATTCTAACTGTTAGTTTGAAATGGTGATTACTGATGTAGTAAGATTCAAACAGCACATTAAAACAATACCTACAAATTTCAACTAAGTTGATAACAGATAGAGTATGAACTTCTAACACAAACAAAATTTAATCCAAGACTCATAACTTCATTTGCCTACTAAATACTGTTATTACATAGGTCTGGTACGAGCTACGTAGAGTATAATCTATTACATACAAAGCCCCGATTAGGGTAAACAAGGCTCCCATCTTGTATTAATGATGTCATCAAAAGTTCGTTCATAATTGTATTATCAATACAGAGCCCTGACTTTTTTTTTTTCTTATCCATTATATTAACACAGTTTTGGGGTAATGATACTTTTGCATAATTGAGCAAAGAACAGGGCAGGGCAGGGCAGAGCAAAATAACTTGAAATAAAGAATAGGGCCTAAGTGTCTTTAACACATGATAATTACAAAATAATCAAAATTCTTTGTTGGCATGTGATGAAAAACTAGAATTAAAGTTGACTTGAAAAAGAGTAGCATGGTGAAATCTCTTTTGTCAGTTGGAAAGATTTCAATCTATGAATATGGAAAGGAAAACAATTCCCAATTCGAAGAATAGGACATTTATCCTTTTAAAGAAAGATAAAATTAAACAAGGGTTGGCTCACAATATCAAGATGCATTAACCTATTGATTCCTCTTGGATTTCTGTGTTCATTGTCGGGCTCCAGCCTTTACCTTAAGCTGTGTGAAGTTTATTACTACTTGTATTGAATATCTAGGAAATTTCTTCATCATTTTCAAAAATAATAAAGCACATAAAGTAAAAGCTAAGAAACGGATGTCAACTTCCATTTTTTTTTTTTTTTACTATTTTCTACAATAAAAATATATTAAGGCTAAAAACAGCTCCTTGATTGAACATAAGGGAGTATATTTAGAAATGAATGACATAGGATTATGAGAAAATAAAAGGAAATTTACAATCGTTTTTTCGAACATGAATTAAACTACTTCGTATGTATTGATTATTAATATAGTATATAACATATTCCTGGGACAACGTGACATAGAGGTCACGGGTTCGAATCTCATCCACCCCTCTAAAGTGGAATTAATTCGCGTCAATCCTTATAAATCCGGATAGAGAGCTTGTTCATTCAATTTATTCGCTTTTCTTTTCATTTAATTTTAGTATAAACAAAACTTGCACCTACATCGGATCTTTATGTAGATATTGTGAACTTTAATAAACATGAAATCTATGAACTTAGGGCTAATGGTATTGACTAATTGTTGCAAACTATTGACTATTATTAATTCCATCGTTTGACTTAATTGTAAACATCAAATATGGACCTATATGGTACAAACCAAACCGGCTACTTTTGGTCGGTTATTGTATTTAAATTTTCACAGGAGAATATGTTAGCATTCAACTGAAAAAAAAAAAGTTTATAGTTATAATGCTGATGCAATTTTATAATAAAGTATTAAAATTATAGAATTTGGTAGGTCTTATTGGACATAACAACGAATCCTTATGAACATGAATATATTTGGTAGCCAATAGATCAACTTGTTTCATATACTGCCAAAAAATAATTATGTGTAGTTTTGATTTTGATAATTGACCACTTAATTAATTAGATATTCTAACATCTATGAAGGTCACAAAATACTACTCCGTAATTAATGTGGTCTTAATTAATGTAAGGATTAGATTGACAAATTTTGCAGCATCATTTTAGTGTGGTTTAGTTGGCGACATGTTCTACCTGAGCTTTATGGAGTTGTTCTAATGTTCTTCATGTTTAATTTCTTGCATCAATGCATTTTTGAGTTTTACTATTTATAATTTTAAAATGTTTTATCAAGCTTAATTACTAGAGTAAAATTTTCTTCATTTCTAATACCTATATATGTTACTAATTCACGTGAAATAATCCAATATTGTAATCGAATACAAAATTTACTTGATCAAACCTTAAAGTGTCTTTGTTCTCAAATGCTAAACCTAATCTAGTACTCCGTGTTACTTTAAAATAAATATCTAGGGTTCTTGAGTGCAAATTATTCAATTTGCACTTAATTACAGTCTGGTCTGGTCTGGTCTGGTTTGGTTTGGGTGTCAAACCACACTAAACCAGACTGCGAATACCCCTAGCTAGAAAGATATCGTTAGTCTATAAAGAGTTACAAATGCAGTGACGCAGATGGCATATGATTGATTTCAACACCCTCTAAGTTTTTAAACGTCAAATCCACGTACACTGGTGGTGGTCGCAAACTTTAATGGTTACATTTCCTTAGTTGCAAGTCATTATAAAAAAGATTATCAATTCATCATTCTCAGATATTTCCAAACCCATCTCAATAAAAATTCAGGTTGCAGTATGGAGTAGTACTAAACATTTAGTAAACAAATAACTGTTGGTCAGCACGTTAGTTGGTAATGGCTCTAAAATTAAAGGTCCTTTTCTTTTAATAATATGGAAAGAACCTGCCTTAGTTGCTTCCCAAATCTAGGCCTCTTTTTCTTGGTATATATACCCTTCTTATATCTAGTCTTCATAACTTCACTTCAACCTTAAACTTCTTATTAAAAATAAAATATTCAAAGCAAATTAATTAGTTGTATCAACACATTTTATTACAAGATTTTACACCAAAATGTCTCATTGGTCTGCTGAAAATGCTACTAGAGCTTACCTCAGAACCATCAAGATGGTGAGTTTAGTATATATGAAACCTTTTTTTTTTTTTTTTTTTTTTTTTTTTTTTTTTTTTTTAAATTATCAATTTTTAATATTTATTTGTAATTTTTTGGAGTTTAATTTGAATAAAGTTTGAGTCTTTGTGATTAATCTTTATTATGGGTCAATTTTGCAGGGCAAAAGAGGCAAAGAGCCTGATGTAGCAGAGTTCATATCAGCCCTAGCAGGGGGAAACAATGCTCAATTTATGGTGGAGGTATGTGGGTCCATTGCAGGCCCAACTACCTTGGGCCTTGTGGCTGCAGCCCAACAGACTGGAGGGCGGGTGGTCTGTATCTTACCCGGGTCAACGGAGCTCCAAGCATCGAAATCACAGTTATCACGTTACTTGGACCACGTCGAGTTTGTGATAGGGGATCCCCTCGATTTGTTGACTAATCAGTTTAAGAGTGCGGATTTTGTGACCATCGATTGTAATATCGATGGTCACGAAGTAATTTTCAAAACTGCTCAAAAAGAAAGGATTCAAGGTAAAGGCGGGGCATTAGTTGTAGGGTACAACGCCCAACATCTAGTGCCCTCGTGCAATGAGTTAGGGGGTCATTTCTTACCTATCGGGGAAGGGTTGTTGATTAGCAAAGTGCCTAAAAATCATGGTATTCGGGATTATAATGGTAATGGACTCAATACAAAGAGGAGTAAATGGGTAGTAAAAGTGGACAAATGCACTGGCGAAGAGCATGTGTTTAGGGTAACTTCCCCTCAACAAAAAATAATTCAAGCTTGATTGTTTAAGATGTAAATATTTAGGAGTACGTTATGAATCGTGATGCAAATCTAGCTTTGTTGTTTTTGGAAAAGCTTAGAAGTTTGTTTCGATCTTTCGTTGTTAATTCAATCAATTTAGGGTCTATGGATAAGGAATAATTCTATCCATAAATGTAGCATTTCTATTTATGTCCTCTTGCATATTTGTATTAGTTTCAACAAATTATGTACACCTTATATTGAAAATTGTTAGAGATTATGTACTAATAAGATTAGCAACAATTGCACTAATCTATGTAATACTCAAAACAAATGTATAAAGTTATCATATCTACTTGTAAGAATTTTCAAATTGCAATGACAATAGTTTTATATATTGATAGTTTTCGGTGAACGATACAATACAACTAATGTAGGATAAAACTTACGTGGTCAATTCGAATTGCATTGCTTAAATTATACTACATTTTAAGCCATGGTCGAATGATTGTGGCTTATGTTCAGCTGATACAACAAAATAATTTCAAACAAGATAAGTCCAGTAAAACAGACCGTCGTTATATTCCCCAAAATAGTAGGGAAAGAACCTCAAGCAGCCTATGGCCCTATGACCCTATCTATAGATCATAACCATATTAACAGCATTTTATCCACTGTTACAATTTGTTGGGCTAATTTTCCCGCTAAAATTGATGCTACTACTCTCTGCAAATCCAATTCAACCATGGAACTCCACTGTTCCTACACTCTCTCTCCTCCACCATTGCAAGACCTTCAACGACATCAAACAAATTCATGCTCGCCTAATTACAACTGGGTTCATCAAAAACCCTAATCTTACCCATAAAATTATCCTCAATTTCTCTTCTTCTCCTTATTCTCCTTTAATCCTCTTTGCTCGATTCCTAATGTTGTCGCAACATAATTTGATTTCGAACCCAGAAACCCGTTTCGATCCTTTTCTTTTTAATTTGGTTATTAAGTCAGTTTCTGCTGGTAATTTTGAACCAAAGGAGGGTCTTTTCATCTTCAGTTTCATGATTGAGAATGGTGTTTGTGTTGATAAATACTCGTTTTCTTTGGTTCTGAAAGCTTGTTCTCGATCTGGGTTTTTGAAAGAAGGGATGCAGATTCATGGGTTGTTGAAAAAATTGGATTTTGGGTCGGAATTGTATCTGCAAAATTGTTTGATATCTTTGTATGTGAAATGTGGGTGTGTTGAGCTTGCACGCCAAGTGTTTGATAGAATGCCCAAGAGAGATTCGGTTTCTTATAATGCGATGATTGATGGGTATGTGAAAACAGGGTTTTTGAGCCTTGCTAGGGAGTTGTTTGATTGTATGCCGATCAGAGACAAGAATTTGATATCTTGGAATTCTATGATTGGTGGTTATACACAATTCGAAGATGAGCTTGATAAAGCTTGGGAGTTGTTTGAGGTAATGCCTAAGAGGGATATGGTTACTTGGAATTTGATGATTCATGGACTTGTGAAATGCAAACAAATGGAAGTTGCCCATGATTTATTTAACCGAATGCCTAAAAGAGATGTAATCACTTGGGCCACAATGATCGATGGTTATGCAAAGATCGGTACTCTTGACATTGCTAGGAATTTGTTTGATCAAGCCCATGGAAAGGATATAGTGGTTTGCAATGTCATGATGGCTGGATATGTTCAAAATGGAAATTTCCTCGAAGTACTGAAATTCTTCCATGGTCTATTACAAATGGACTATTTGTTCCCTGATAGAATTACGCTCTCTTTAGTTCTTTCTGCCATTGCTCAATTAGGACAGGTTGATGAGGGAATTGCTGTGCATTCCTATATTCAGACCATTGGAATTACCATTGATGGGAGTCTGGCCGTGGCTCTTATAGATATGTATTCAAAGTGTGGCAGCATTGATAGTGCAATTCAGGTATTTGAGAGCTTGGAATGGAAAGATGTTGATCATTGGAATGCCATGATAGGAGGGTTAGCTGTTCATGGCTTAGGTGAATTGGCATTTGAGCTTTTCATGGAGATGCATAAACTCCTTCTGAAGCCTGATGATATTACATTCATTGGTCTGCTAAATGCTTGTGGTCATGCTGGTTTAGTGAAGGAAGGAAAAATGTGTTTCGAACTGATGAGGAGAGTGCATAAATTGGAGCCAAAGCTTCAGCACTATGGATGCATGGTTGACATCCTCAGTCGAGCTGGATACCTAAAAGAAGCGAAGATGTTTGTAGACGAGATGCCTATTGAACCAAATGACATCATTTGGAGGACATTGCTTAGTGCTTGTATTAAGTATGGAGATTTAAATTTAGGGCAGCAGGTTGCCGAGCACCTTATGAGGCTTGATTCTAGGAACTCGGGCTCTTATGTGCTTCTGTCTAACATGTATGCTGGATTTGGCATGTGGGAAGATGTTAGCAGGATTAGATCTGTAATGGAGAACAAAGCATTGAAGAAACTTCCTGGTTGCAGTTCTATTGAAATCAATGGAGCAGTCCAAGAGTTTCTTGTTAGAGATAATTCTCATCCTCATACTGGAGAGGTCTATTCTTTGTTGGACAACTTCAGTGCTTCAGGATTCAGCTTGAAGTTGGAATCAGAAATCACAGAGCTGGAACTAGTAAACTAGTTAGGTACGACTTCATTCTATTAATCATCGAATGTATGTATGTATATATTCCATTTATACTATACAGATATGCATGCAGATTGCAGAAGCTTAATGTAAATGTAATTATAAACCAAATATGATGTTAATAGTCACTTTTTGAAGGTTGGCGACAATACTTAATGTCCAATTGTCCATCCATAATACTTGTGCAAAATTAGTCTCATCATTTTGATTTTTTTATTTTTTTGCTTGCACTTTGATTCAGGGCAGAGATTATAAATTGTAGAAACCATAATGCCAGGCTAGAATGTTAGTCAGATGAAATTAAGATAAAAGAAATGGAATTCATAATCCCCCAATTAACTGCTGCTGTCATTCGTCTTCAAGCAGCTGATCTTATGTGTGACCATAGATCAATATGCATGTTCAGTATTTCCCCAATGTTACTATGACCATAGGTATGCATCTGAGTGTTAGACATGGTCATCTTATGAGATTTTCGCCTGAGTTTGGTCCAAAATAAAGTGTCTTAGTGTCATACCCAAGTCAAAGTGTCGAGTTTTGACATGAATATGTATGGTAAAATGAAGTCTCAAAGTAACATAGATTTTCAGTAAGAGAAAATAATCTTGATGGTCTGTCAGTCTCAAATTGATTAACATCAGACTTGACCAAAAATGTCCTGTATGTTACAAGTGTCCAAGATAATGAGGCTGAAATTTATCTTCCTGTTAATTCATATTATACTCAGGAAATATCACAACCAAGATTTTAGGATTTCAAGTTCAAATTGTTGCAAATGTATACTGGAAGATTTTTCCAGCAGTCTCAGTAGAACATAACTTGTGAAATTGATCAGACTAGTATGAAAAGGAGAGCTTAAATTGTGAAAGAAAGCAGGGACAAAACCACTAGTTAAAAATAAGACAAAAAATGTTCACATGCAACTATGCAAAAGAGAGAACAAAAAAAATTCTGTGTATGTGTGAATTTTAGATTCTTCTTTTTGTCAATTTTCCAATGATGAAGACAAAAAAATGTCTTCACATTTATCATCTTAGGGCAATTTTTGTCCATTCACATGTTGAGCTGATAAAAAATTGTCTACATTTGTATATTTGAACATGGAGATATATGCAATATTTGCAAGGTAATTTACCAATTATGGGAACTATTGCATTTAAGAGTTAATGAATTATTCTCATTATATTTATAGCATTGAAGATTAGGAAGAAAACTTGCTAGATTATATTAGGAGTAGAAGCTATACTGCTGTAGTGCAGATCATACTACTTAGACCACATGTTTAGTCTTAACACTCGGGCTGGTTAAAGGCCAAACAACTAATTAACTTCTATCACTCAATATAATACCTTGTTGACACGTGAATTTTTCGAACAATTGATTTAAGTGTTACATAGTTATATATTTAACAAGGCTAAGAAGCTACTCTTATAATCAAAACCATATGGTTTTAAGATGAAACCTCTTTTATGTTTGGGCTCTCTCTTGATGATGGGTGTGACACGGTCCCGTATTTAACACATGTATTCCCTAAATAGTCTTCAATTGATGTTTTTGTTTTTTTCCTCTCTTTAAATAGAACCAACCAAATTTTAAATATTTCAACTACTATCACATTTGATGTCCTGATGTCCATCTATTCTATCATTTATACTGTATTATTTTCTAATCATTTTGTGAAAGATAATAAGTGAAGAAGGAAGTAATTACAAGCCCTAAGTTTTTTCTCTTTCTTCACGCTCACTTCAATCTTTACTTTACTTATTTCATTATATTAATTAATCTTGATAACTACTCCCTATTATTTTTTGGTAGGGTAGGAAATAGGAATTTGTCATCAAAAAAATTTCATGTTTTTTTTTTTTAAATGAAGGCAAATGGTTAAAAACATCAGTAATACAGTGTTTTTTTCTGAGTTCTGTCATATTGGTAAAGAGGGCTGTAATGGGCCCATAACTCACATGGGCAGTAGTTATTAGGACAGTAGCTTTCTCCAGTCATAATGGGCCCCCAATATGAGTTCTTCACTTCTATGTAATTCCACTCAAACACTTAATGATGATGCTTACTCCAAATGTGAAATGTTTACTAAATTTCAACCTGTACATATCTTTTTGTCACATACCTATATCACATGCAATTCTCCTGCTATTAACTTTTGTCAATAATGAACCTGATCTATTGCACTTCAAACAGTGAACCAAATTAAATTCCTTAAATATGAAGTTCTGTACATGCATTTGAAGAAAAGACTGGCATGGACCCGATGTAGAAAAGTCCTGTGTGAGACAATTTCATCTACGGAGTAATCCGTAGTAGTTATTGTGAGACCAACGTGACTTTTTATGTGTTAAAAGTGCAGATTTTAAAAATCTATCTTTATATTAATGTGAGCTAGTTAATGTTAACATGTATTTATGCGTATCGATTACTATGGCTATTATGTTGTACTGTTTTAAGCCAAAAAGTAAAAAAAAGGCAATGCCAAAGTAGATAAATTTCAGCCTTGGATTTATTCAAAACAAGATTTATGCAACAATACTGCATCAATCTAGCGAGTGGGAGAAACAAGATTCATACAACAGTACAACAACACAAGTAGTGACTAGTGACTAATTGACTATTGAAGTAGTGAGGACAACTACCTGAAAATTTTAATTAGATTACAACATCAGTCGTGCATTTGGCACTTGCACTAAATTTCTATAACAGCAACAGACTAACAGACTAGCTTACAAACTACCTTAAGCTACAACAATGACTTATACACCGCAAATGAGATTAGCCGGCAGTTAGCATTTGCCCATTTGTCACTAATTGGAAAAACTCAGGGCAAGAAAATAATCTCCTAGTTCAAGAACTGTCATCAAGCAGACTTAATTCTTGTCTCACAGTGTTTATTGATGGCCTTTGATGAGGGAGTTCGTGGGTGCAAAGTAAAGCTATTTTACCAAGCTCAGTAGCTTCAGATTCTGAATACTTCCCATGTAGGTTTGCATCAATGAACTCTTCAAATCTTCCAGACTCAGCACCTTGACGAATTGACTGGTCAATTCTAGTTTTACCTGAGAGGATTTGGAACAGGATTATGCCAAAAGCATATACATCACTCTTATCAGTAAATTTTCCGGTGGTTGTGTACTCCGGAGCAAGGTAACCCATGGCTGCACTGGCTTTCAGCATTGAAAAGACAATGTCATCGGCAAGGAGCTTGTAGAGGCAAGATCCCACGAGTAGTGGAGTAAGGCGCCAGTCTATCAACACTTTTTCAGCCGATATATTTTGGTGAACCAAAGCAGGTTTACTCCCCTGTGGGGTGTGTATATAATCAACACCTGATAAGAAAAGAAGTAAAATGGAAAAATTAGTGAACTTCAAATGATATTACTAATATATATAAGTTGGTCAGAATACCCTAATTATTCATCTTGCTCATCAGGCAAAGATTCAAGCTTTCCTCCAAAATTCTCCTCCAACTATGTAGTAAAGTTTGTTGGGGTTTATTTGTGATAAGAAGATCCATATTTTTAAAAGTAAGACTTAAAAACACTTATACAAGAACTGCATCTAATTGACAACACCCCAGTTAAGACTCTTTCTTGAGTAAAGTTTAGCCCTTAGACCATGCACACAACATAGGCGTATGTAACTCAAAATATAACATGAATGACAGATGTAGCAATCAAGGGGAGTTAACCTCGCACTAACCTTTGGCAATGCCCTTGATAATGGAAACTCTAGTAGACCAATTGAGAACTTTGTCGGTGCCATCCTTTAAGTCGAGATACTGAAGCAAGTTTCCGTTAGGAACAAAATCATAGATTAGAAAACACTCTCCCCTCCCCTTTGAGCAGCAAAATCCTCTCAGTCTGACAAGATTTCCGTGCTGCAAGGAAGTCAGGATCTTCAATCCCTTCAAGAATTCTGCTTCATCAGTCTTGCAGCCTGTCTTGGCTATGCGCTTGATAGCAACTATAGATCCATCTCTTAACACTCCTTTGTAAACAGCTGAGTAATTGCTCCGCCCTAGGAAATTCACTTCAGAAAAGTGCTGGGTAGCAGACTCCACATCCTCCAAATTGAACATATAATTCTCAAATAATTCCTGTGAACCTTTTCCCAGAGGATCCCACCCATTTGAATACTCAAGACTAATAAGAGGTGCAGCACTTCTCCTGTGAACATCCTTAGCCTGGTCAGTGCTAAGCCGACCATCAGTAATATCCAAGTTGGTTCCAATCTTTTGTTTTCTGCGGCGGTACATTGAGAACATTGAAAGACCAATAACAGTGATCAACGCAATTGCAACAACCCCACAAATAATACCAGCATGGGAGGACTTGGAAGATTTTGAGCACTGCGAGCCGCTGCAATTTGAGGGGAGATTTGCTGATTCAGGTAGATCTTTCCTTGCGAACCCAGAAGAACTTGGTGTAAAAGCTTCGGGTTTATTCTTGCTTTGGTTGTCAGAGTCAGAGCAAACTCTTAAGGAAACGAACCCAACTCCACATAAACCTGGATTGTTCTCATATTGGAATTCATCACTCAATCTATGCAGAGCTGCAATTTATAGAATTTATGTTAGTTCCTTGCTTTCCCAATCATCTGCTAACTTACTGAGCAAATCTTGACTAAATAGATGGAGTAGAAATTCACATTACCAGCAGGCACATTGCCAGAAAGAGTATTGTTTCGAACATCAAGAATTCGCAACAAGGGTGCTTCAGCTAACTTGACTGGAATCGGACCAAACAACCTATTGAAGCTTAAATCCAACCTGGTTAACATATCTAAATCTCCCAAACTAGCAGGAATAGCACCAGTTAACTGATTATACTGCAAAGCAAGAACATTAAGCTTCTTGAGAGAACCTATCTGTGTTGGCACATTCCCACTTAGCTTATTATAGCATAGCTGCAACACTGCAATATAAGACAAGCAAATTGAAACACTTTGAGTTACCTTCAAAACCCATTTCGAATACTGCAAAATGCAAAACAAAAACCTTTCTAATAAGCAAGAACAAATTTCCTTTTTGCTTCCTACTTTGTGAATTACAGATGCATATATCAAAATTAGCAATTCCAATCACATGTACAAATTGACAAGTACAAATATATATGCATTTTCTAGAAACCATGATTATAATGAAACAAAGGTAAGGAAAAGGAAAGAAATAATAACAATGTTACATATTCTCTTCATTTCACCTCAAGTACCAGTGTTGGATCCTTAAACACTCATGACACTTCATATAACGCGACATTTATGGAAAGTTTTCACAAAATAGCCAAGTCGTATCCAATACGAATACTAAATAACATATTGAAATCAGATAGAAAATTAGACAACCGACCTTGCAAATTAGACATGTTTCCAATTTGTTCAGGAATGCTGCCACTGAAGTAATTGACATCCAAATACAGATCAGTAAGCTGAGTCAACCCAGCAATTTCTTTAGGAATCTCACCACTCAACCTATTGAAATGCAGATACAACCCAGATAAGCTCTTAAGTTCACCAATGGCAGCAGGTAAAACCCCATCAAGCCCTTTACCCTGCAATGAAATGTTAGCAACTTTGCCAAACTCATTGCAAGCAACACCCTCAAATGTACCACTGCAAGGATCCCCATTAACAGTCCAAGAAGAAAGAAATGTATGATGTGGGTCAACAGAGGTTTTGATATCAATGAGGGTCTTCAGCTCGGCATTTTCACAAACAGTTGGTGGGAATATGAGAAAAAGGGGTAGAAAAAGGAGGAGAAAACAATGGATTAGCTTCATTTTTTTCTGGGTTTGAGGTGAAAAGGTTAAGGGTGAAAAAAGATGAGTGCTTTAATTTGTGGGAGTGTGTGCTTTGGTTTGGGGAGGATAGAGAAAATGTGGGCGAAGAAAGGGATGTGAGGAAGAAGAAGAAAGGAGGGAATGAGTGAGTAGAGAAGAGGAAGTGACTAGTGAGTGTTTAGAATTTGAAATGGTGGTGTTTGTGAGGGTGACTGGAAGCTCCGGTTACCCGTTTCAGAAACTATTGTTGTGTAGCTTTTTTTGGCTTTGTGCATCCTTTGCAATTTTGATTAATTAAATTGACTTGTCACTAATTCACTATGATTTCATGGTTTGTCATTTGTGGACGTGTAAATGTGTGATATTTGTTCACTAGCAACAGGGTTAGAACTTGGAGGGAGGAATGAAATTAATGTGTTAAGGAGTATAAATTTTGAACTTGACTCTTAATATAATAGGTTTGGTTTGCTCATAGAATGAAATTTTATTCTTTTACTCCATACTTGATACCTATGAATTTTGGTATGAGCCAAATCCAACTCTTCGGAGACTAAACCCCATACCATTTTTATTTTTATTTTTATTTTTTTGTAGAAGAGGTACAAAGAGCAAAGACAAGAAAAAAAGAAAAAAAAAATAACAAACCAACAAAGCAAAAATAAAAGCTACTTACGGAGGGACAAAGCATGGTACACGACCAAACTCAACCGGAACCTCATTATTGAAAAACCCAAGTTGAGAGTTTTGAATGACTCCGCGGTTTGCCAACCAATCCAGCGCTCTATTTCCTTTACGATACACATAAGCTACTTTCACTTCCCATCTTGGATCACTGAGCATTTTTTGGCAATAAATGTCATGTATGTTTTCTCCTCTTGGCACCTCTTGCTTGTTCAGAGCTTGTACACTAGCAAGTCTAGCAAGATTGGCGACCTTGTACCCCATACTTTGTAGTACATACGGAGTATTATTTATTCCGAACAAAATAGATAGATAAAAAAAAATAAAAAAAAATAAAAAAAAAAAAAACCTACTCTGCTTAAAAAATCTGTTTTTTTTTTTTTTTTTTTTTTTTTTTTTTTTTTTTTTTTTGTGAAAGAAAGTAGATAAATTTATATTGTAAACCCTATATTGTAAATTTTGTGAACCGAACAACCGAGAGATTAAGGAGAGTTTGTTTGATAGGAAGCCAGGGATTAAAGAAAACAAGTTAAATCCTAAGATACTCCTTAAAATCTTAAATCACCAAACAAGGGATTAATTGCAGAAATAAATTGGTTTCCCTAAATTCCTTTTATTGGTTGTTCACACACATCACGCCTTCCCGCTGCCACTCGCCGCCGTACCGGCCACCCAGCTGCCTTCCCCCGCCGTCTACGCCGCCAATCGGCCTACGGTATGCCCCTAATCTTAGTTTTATAAGTTTTTTATTTTGTTCAATTCACTATACACCTTGTTTTAATTGATGCAATTAATTGAATAATATGATTAATTACATAATATGGGAATCATTGAAATTTCATTTACTCAATTATAATGTAGTTATGTTGATCATTAGTTCATATTGTAAGCTTTTATCAAATTGCAATTTCAATTGGGTGTTCTTAAACCCACCTTTGCGAATTTATTTAACTCAATTTGTGTTATTGATTTTATATGCTGGGAATTTTGTTTATGGGTATGGGTTAGTATTTAGTAAAGACTATTAATTTTTTAAAATTGATGATTAATTTATATGGGTATGGAATTTTGTAGTGTATAAAATGTTGAATTACTGTATTATTGTGTTATACTATGACTTCTATGTGGTGTGAATGTATGATCTTATGACTCCCTTCTATAGGAACATTCAATTTGTGTTATTGATTATATATGCTGGGAATTTTTGTTTATGGGTATGGGTTAGTAAAGACTATTAATTTTTCAAAATTGATGATTAATTTATATGGGTATGGAATTTTGTAGTGTATAAAATGTTGAACTACTGTATTATTGTGTTATACTATGACTTCTATGTGGTATGAATGTATGATCTTATGACTCCCTTCTATAGGAACATTAATGCTCCGAAGATTGCCGGTAACAGTAGCATCAAAGGTTATCAATTACCCATTTTTTCTTCATCTTCTCCCTCCGCGACAATTCTCTCTCCTTACAATGGATGTAGGCAGAGAAAGCAGTAGCTTCTTCTTCTCTTCTTTTGCTCGCGATATACCGAGGTTTGTCTCTTTTATCCTCTATGTTTATTTTTAAAGTTCATTGATAAATATGTGAAGTAAAACAATTATCTGGATTATATTTACTTTTGTTAGTTTAAGTCATGTACCTAGTGATTTTTATTCAATTTGTATATTAGGAATTGAGAACCAATTGTCGTATTGATAAAGATTCTTTATAGAGTGATTGGATGAACATTATTTTTCAATCAGATCATTTTTATAGGTCAAAAAATTCTTATTTTAATTTTTGTGTTATTGTTTTTGTAATCTGCAGTTTAGCTGGAGGAAGAGAACATGGAGACACGAGAGGCAATCGTGGCGGATCAAGAGGCCGTGGTCGTGGTCGTTGTCGTGGTGCTCCAATTGGTACTTCAGATAGAACTGATACTCTTGGTAGACTGTTGTAAGTTCTACACAACCTTTTTTATTTATACATTATCTCCTTTGCATTCTGAAAACTTTTTTTTTCCCCTTATAAACATTGCAACCCTTTTTCATAAGGCTCAAGACTGTTAACATTTTGTTGTTTTTGTATTGGATTTGGAAACATAATCAAACATTTTGTGTTATTAGGGTACGTATATTGAGGCATAATGCAACGGAGCTGAATTTGGACATGCGTAGTGATGGATATGTCAAGCTTCAAGATTTATTGAAGCTGAACATGAAAACAAGGTCAAATATCCCATTAAGCTCACATTCTATTGATGAAATTAGAGAAGTAAGTCCCATCGCTATTTTTCTCACGCATTGATGATCACCCAATCTTGTAAGATAAGTTGAAAGTTGATATGTATTTTATGATTGGATTATAGTTCTGCTGTGTTTCCATATTTCATTTAAGCCTTTGGCACAATTCACAATTTTCTTCATTCCTGCCTTATTCATTGAGCATTTCATATGATCAACCATCATAGACATATTTTTATAGTTTATCTATTATACGTGTCCTTGAATCTTTCCCCTTCAATTTTTGTGCCTTCCTACCCCTTATTTATGACCAGAAGTCTGATGTATTCATTTCTATAAATTCTGCTGATGTGAAAAGATTTTGAAGTTCCATTTTTTTTATCATTATACTTCGTATTTCCAATCTCTCTCCCTCCCCCTCTCCCTTAAACCCTAAGTATTTCCAATCTCTCACCTCCCCTTTTCGAAAAAAAAAAAAAAAAAAAGACAAGCAATAGTTATTAATATGATACATTTTTAGGCATTGTATTTCCTTTTATTAGACTATATTTTTTTTATCCAAATTTGATACAAGTACATATGTATTACGGAGTACAATGTACCAAAAACTTTGCCGATTTGAAACCCAACAAGTTACTTGAATAGGTTCTCTTTTAGAATCTAAGCATACAAGTTATTTGGGGTTTTTATTTTCTTGGCTCTGTAAACAAATGCAAATAAATTCAAGGCTTTATTTTATTTTATTCATATAATAGCTCATACTTTGTCTTTGGCATTGATTCATTTAGTTCTTTTGTTCTCAGTACACTTTCACACTGATATGCAAATTTTTCAGGTTGTAAGGATAGACAATAAGCAGAGGCTCGGCCTTTTGGAAGAGGATGGAGAGCTGTGGATACGTGCAAACCAAGGTCATACTTTAAAGGTTAGCTATTTTTGCCGTAGTATTATTGTGTATTAATCTAGAAAAAATTGTCAAGAACTGCTCCTTGAGTCAATATCAAGTTTCGTTTCCTGATCCTTTCAATGCTCTGGACTAATGGAGAAGACCTAGATTGTTGGATTCTACTTTAGTTCAGTTCATAAGCTAATTTAAATAGACTTGAATCATCTTGGAAATAATGGAGGATTTTTTGAAATTAAAGGGGAAGATATACAATTATAGGTGGAAATGGATAATTATTTCGTGAATTCAAAATGGAAGTAACAATCTTTTTTCATTGCCATGCTACATATACTTTGTTCCTAGTATGGCTTTGTTTGGTTAAAATAGGAGAGACAGATAAAGAAGGGAAAAGGAAAGGAAACCCTTAACTTACAGAATGTGTTTGTTTGATTGGGAAGGGCAATCATATGCTGTTTTTTTTTTTGGTTGTTGTTGTTGTTGATGTTGTTGTATTTTGTCGGTGATGTGGTCAGGAATAAAATCTCCTTAATCCCTCAATGCAAGTGTCCCTTTCTCAGCACCCTCATTATAGCGTCTTATTGAACCCATCACCGACAATTTTATCTTTATCTTGTTGTCAACCTTTTTTTTTCTTGTTCCCTCTCTCTATAGCCCTTCACCCCTAACAACCTCCATCTGCTGGCCAGCTCACTCCTAGGTCTCCTACCTTTCCCACCCAACAGTCCCTTCCACTAACAATTATATCCTCATTGTGCTGTTTAGAGTTGATGTCCTTGGTAGTGCACAAGTTTTCTACTAACTCTCTGTCTCATTAGTTCAGTTCCCAAGCTCTCCTTTGGTAGTAGAATTGACCATGAAGCTCTTAATCTGGAGCCTTGCTGGTCAAATTTAACCATTTATAGCTTGTAGTGCACAAGTTTCCTACTAGCTCCCTGTCTCATTAGTTCAGCTCCCAGGATGCTCCTTTGGTAGTAGAATTGACCATGAAGGATTTTAATCTGGAGTCTTGCTGGTCAAATCTAACCATTTACGGCTCATCATTGTTATGGTTAGCTGACAGATATTCATATACATTTTTAAATATGCTGTTATTGTGTCCTTTCTGGTTATTATGGTGGTGAAAATGGGATCAGGTTTACTGTGACTTAAGGTCAGCAGATGATTTGGGCATTCTCAATGGGAAATAAACTGGCAGCTGGAGTGAGGAATGTAGTGTGTTGCACTTGCAGGCAGAAGAATGGGGAAGGTAGTATGTAAAAGTTGAGGATATTTGGCCTGGGGTTGAAGCTGTGAGGTCCATGAGGATATTATAGCAATGAAGGGGAATTGAATGATAACAAATACTTGGTGTTTGGGGGAGAGGGAAGAATATGATGAATTGGGTTTTAAGTTTTTTTTTGGAGGCTAAAATTTGTGTGCAAAATGGCCTCTTTGTTCTTTGCTATGTAATTTATGGGAACGTAGAGGCAAATCCTTTAAAGTTAGGTTTTCAAGTATTGCCATCCAAACTTGTTTCAAGCTTTCTTACCCATGGGCATTGGCAGAACCGCAAAAGCAATATGGCCATGACCCTTGGCTTTCCAATTCCATGTGAGGTTTTTAGGGAGTAGTCTTTGGAGCTTGGGGAAAATCCACCTAGTGCTTTGTCGTTTTATTTTCTTTCTAAAAACAATATATGTTTCTTGATAAACTCTTTTTTGTAACATCTGATTCACTGTTATTTCTTCTCTCTTTGGTTATTCAGTCTGTAGAGAGTGAGAGTTTATTGAAGCCGATCCTTTCTGCTGAAGAGATCCCTGGTATGCACTACGCTTAAGGACTCAGATCCCATATTGCTTGATGGCAAGTTACTTTTTGAGAAGATAACTCAAATTTCTTTCATATGTAGTTTGTGTTCATGGTACATATAAGAGGCTTCTTCAATCTATTCTTGCATCTGGTCTCAAGCGAATGAGCAGGTTGCACGTTCACTTTGCGTGTGGCTTACCATCAGATGGAGAAGTAAAAAGTGGTATGTATACTGTATATGGAGAGTTTTCCTGATCAGTTTTTTAATGTCTTGTGATTTCCTCTGGACCATTAAGGTCTCTGCAAATCTTCTGCATGGTTTCTTTTACTGATTTATTTCTCATAATTTTCTCACCACACTGTGAGCAGTATTGTTATCCCTATACGGAGTATATTGTTATATTGTACACGAGAAATTCTGCAAAAATGATAACATAATTACTAATGTGATCAATGTGATGTGTTAAAAATTCCTCGTATTACTTGCCATGAAGCTACAATGACGTGTTTTGGGCCATTTTTCCAGGTTTTAGGCGTGATGTTGACATGATAATCTTCATAGACACCAAGAAAGCAATGGAAGGTACACTTCCAGGTTTCCGTATTTTATATCTATAACTCTGCTGCTCATAGCTTGTCAAAAGTAATTAGTGACAGCATAGACCCCCTGATCAAATCTGATGGAATTTTTTTCACCATGTCTTACCTTGGCAGATGGAATGAAGTTTTACAAGTCTGAAAATGGGGTAATACTGACAGAAGGCTTTGATGGCGCTATCCCAGCTAAATATTTCCAGAAAATCGAGTCATGGCCTGAAAGAAACCCGGTGCCTTTCCAAGTTTAAGTTATTTAGACAAATGTATTACCTCGTTTGTACCCTTATTATAGTTGGATCCGCATACAAGTACTCTCTTCATCAACATTTCCACTTTGGACTTTGTGACTCACAAACAATGTGATTTAAATAGGGACAGAGGTAGTATTAACGAGGTTATGTGAAATTGATGTGATCCGGTGTATTGTGCAAATGTAAATTCTACTGTCAAGCTGATTTTTGTTTTATAGGCAATAGCAAATACTGATTTCTAAACTGAATCTCTTAGGCTCTTTCAAGTTTCAACGTAGGTGGTTAGTTCGAAAGAAGTACGCTAATACTAGAAATGACCTCTTTAAGTCTTACTCCCTCCGTCCCTAGAAATAAATGCTAGAAGTAGGAATGTAATCTAGGGACGGAGAGAGTAAAATGTTTTTTAAAAACGTAACATGTATGCTACTACCTCCATTTCTAAATTACATTCCTACTTCTCTAGGAATAATTGCTAGAAATAAAAATGTAATTTAGGTACGGGGGGAGTACGACAAATAGCCTCTGTAAGTCTTAACAGTTACTCCATAGTATTTAACAACCTCGTGTTTGGCGGGCAAAAAAACCAATTTGTTTTGATTAAATAACAAGCACTCAACAGTCAAGACTTGAACTTGCAGTTAACCCAGAAACTTGTAATTCACAGATGAATGAAGCTACTTCTCTTACAATCTCTCTCCTACAAAAATGCACCACCATTACTTCACTTAAGAAAGCCCAGAAACTCCATGCCCTCATCTTAACATCCTCAACACCATTCACTTACCATAAACCATTCCTCCATAACAACATCCTTTCAATGTATGCCAAATGCGGTTCGGTCTTTGATGCCCGCCTTGTGTTCGACAAAATGCCTCAAAGAAACTTCATTACTTACAATTCCATCATTTCGGCCTTTGCCCGTCGTCTTGATTTGGGTTCCTATGCTTTTAGATTGTTTTCCCAGATGAGATTTCAATGTTTTACACCAAATGGGGCAACGTTTATAAGCCTATTGCAGTCGGCTTCTGCTGCTCGAGACCGGTTACATGGGTTAGCTCTTCATTGCTTGATTGTTAAGTCTGGTCAGTTGTTTGATGTGCAGGTTCAGACTGCTTTGATTTGCTTCTTTTCTAATTTTGGGGATTTAAGTTCTGTGAATCAAGTGTTTGGAAATGTGCTAATTCAAGATGAGTACTCCTGGAATTGTATTATATCAGGGTATGTGAAAAACAATAGGATGGCAGAAGGGTTATGTCTATTTAGAAAGATGTTGAGGAGTGGTGCTATCCCAACGGAGTTTACGTTTTCAATGGTACTGAATGCTTGTGCAAGATTGAGTGACTATTCTTTTGGTCGACTTGCTCATGCACAAGTTATTTTGACTGGTGTGTACCTAGATTTACCCCTGCAGAATGCATTGATTGACATGTACTCTAGCTGCGGCGACACCCAATCTGCATTCCATTTATTTGAAGGAATCCAGAATCCGGATATTGTGTCATGGAACTCGATGATGGCAGGGTATGCAGAGAAAAGAGAAGGCGAAAAAGCTATGGCTCTATTTGTTCAACTGCAGCATCATGCTGGTCGTAAAGCAGATGAATATACTTTTGCAGCTTTGATCTCTGCCGTTCAAGAATGCCCACTTTTATACTATGGGGAAGCCCTCCATGCACAGGTCATAGTATATGGTTTGGATACAAGTGTGTTTGTCGGGAGTCCATTGATTTCCGTGTACTTTGGATATGGAAAAGTTGAATCTGCTGAAGGGGTTTTCCACACAATCTCAAAGAAAGATGTGGTTCTGTGGACTGAAATGATTTCCGGTTACTCTAAAGTTGAAGATAGTGAAAATGCAATCAAATTTTTCTATAATATGTGGCAACAGGGTCATAAAATTGATGACTTTTCTCTAAGTAGTGCTTTGAGTGCATGTGCTGATCTTGCAACTTTGAATCAAGGCGAAATGCTTCATTCTTTGGCCATAAAAACTGGGTGTGATTCTGAGATGGCAGTATGTGGAAGTCTAATCAATGCATATGCCAAAAATGGTGACCTGCAAGCTGCCAAGTCAATATTTGCTGAGATCAAATACCCTGATTTGAAATGTTGGAACTCGATGATAGGCGGCTACAGTCACCATGGGAAGGCTGAGGAGGCAATAAAACTGTTTGATGAGTTTCTAATTCTTGGTCTGAAACCAGATCAAGTTACATTTATTTCATTACTCTCTGCTTGCAGCCACTGTGGTTTAGTTGAGAGGGGGAAACGCTTGTGGAGTTACATGAAGGACAAGGGACTATATCCGAGGTTTAAGCACTATGCTTGTATGGTAAGTTTGCTCAGTCGAGCAGGGCTGCTAGAAGAGGCGGTGGAAATTATTCATGAGTCAGATTTTGGCAAGGATCATCTTGCATTGTGGAGAACTGTGTTGAGTTCTGCTGTTTCTAACAAAAATTTGTCTATGGGACTTCTTGCTGCTAGGGAGATTTTACAACTTGATGCACAGGATAGTGCAACTCATACTTTACTTTCAAATCTATATGCTTCTGTGGGGAGTTGGGATGGTGTCATGGAAGTCAGGAAAAGGATAAGAGGTATGATGTTGGAAAAGGATCCAGGATTGAGCTGGGTTGAGACGGTGAAAAGCTTGGAAGTTTTCTCATCAGGTGATCAATCACACCCGAAGATTGAAGAAGTAAAGGCTCAGCTAAAGATACTGCAAGGAAATATGATGTTACGGCAAGATATTGATGGTATATAAATATAATACACAAGGATTGTCGTCTACTAGGCAGGCATAGAATAATCGTTGAGATCTGGGTATCAAAGGGCCCTGAGGGCTTAACAAGCATGTTGCAGATACAATAGTTTGATTTGGGGAAACATGATATCAAAGGCGAAGCACCACACATTCACAACAATTATGCTACCTGGACTCTCCGATTTGCCCCAAGAATTTTGTGTTGGACACCCACAAAGAGTTATGGAAACTTATGCCTTGCCATGTATCTGAAAAGAGCAAAGTAAACGAACGGGAAGTTTTTGGTTCTTTTCACCCTCTGTTGGTCGTGCATAAGTTTCCCAAGTCTGATCTTGAGGCCTGTATTTTGACCATGTCCAACAATCCTACAATAGTGGCCAAATCTATGTAATTTATTATGAGGCTGCTCACTCTTGCTCCTGCCATTGTTATATGGCTAGGTAGTACCAAAAACCGTAAGCTAATAAGATGGTTTACTGTGATGAAGAAATACCGTGACAGAATGTAGACTACAGTAAGTGAACTTCAGTGTTCCCTGGTTGGGTCCAGTTATGTTCTCTTTCAGAGATGTAATTTTAGGTGTTGAGGAACATGATTTGGATATAACCATCTTATACGAAGTAGCTGTTAATCTGATATATCAGAGCTAGCATCCGGTTTACTAAGATTTTACTTATAAGGTATCCTGACTGTGAATGTAAACTCATGATTGATAAATTTGAATCTAATTTGGGATGCTGTATTTATAGTATCTTTTGGAGCCGTGTTATCTGGTTCTAAACAATCAGAATTACTGCTGATCCAAAAATTCAGAAATCTGTGATGAAATAAAATAGCAGCCTCTGCAAGTCTGCAACTGACCTCTGATTTACACACTATATAGTTTCATTGCTGACAAATGATCGTTTTCAATTTGTGCCATGTTCCAAGTTTTAATCATCCCCCTTTTCCTAGTCCAATATTTGGAGAGTAGTACAAGCAAATTTTGATAATATCATCACATATTGCTTTTCTTTTAATAGATCATCACATATTGCTTTGTATGCAGTATTAATGTATTATGTACCTACAATTGACTAATGTTGGCGAGCCGTTCTGGTAACAATAGGACGATACAATTGAAGGCTAACCAGTGATTTTTGTAGGCGGAAACTCTTCAAACATGGAAATAAAGTACAGAAAATGCCAACCAGTCATTTTTATTTCTTGTAACAAAATATATTGAAACTAAGCCTACACGCCTACTTGATTCCAGACTATGTAGCACATGAAGAAAAACCAAGCTAAATGCCCCCATGGTACATTGGTACATACACTAAATGCTCTAATATTTCTGGACCAAACTTAAACAAAATTATAGAGCAAATAGAGCAATTTGTAAATCATGTTAGTCGAGATAACCAAACTACCAAAGATCAAATGCCTGCAAAACGGTGCACATACATTCAATGATTACAAACATTATCAGTCTGCTCGACGACCCAAGCTTTCTACTGAGTTCAATTCATCTGTAGACTACAGCAGGTCAGCAGCAGCAAGTAAGCAGCAGCATGTTACAGATCAGCAGGTCAGCAGCAGCATGTTATAGACAAATTTCATTCTTGGTTTATCACCTAATCTTGATTAACAGAGCAAATTTGTAGCCACGTAATCTACCTTACTCTTCACTCTCCTCTGATTCACTTTCCTCTTCAGCCTCTATCTTCATATGATTAAAATTCCTTTCCAGTGGCGGAAGCCCGTCATCAGAATCATCTGAATTGGCTTCTTCATCACTCAATGCTTCATCTTTATTTTCTTCATCTTGTAGAATACGAAAGGCCTGTGGGTTTTGTTGTTTAGATATCCAAGCATTCTGAGCTGAAATTATCTCAGCACTATCTTTGCATTCAGAATAAGCTTTAAGGAGCTCCTTGTTAAGTGACAAGAACGAATGCCCCCACTTGAACTTCCCCAGCAACAAATGAGCAGTCTCCTCTTCACCACAGATCAGCAGTGCAGCAGCTAATGCTTCTACACAAGATAGCTCACATGGCCTGCCATAATTCACCGGATTTGCTGCTACCAACCATGGTAATAACCGAGGAGCAGTACAACGGAGTTTAGCAAAAGGAACATCAGTCAATCGATGCCATGAGCAGTCCACGACAGCCAATCCTCTCTGCTTGATCAAAGGATAGTCTTCTCTAGATACACAGTGAGTTCCAACAGGGCTCAAGACGATGCCCCCGAACCCAGCATTCACACGCAATTCTTTTAACAAATTAAACCTAGCCAGTTTCCGTCCTGTACACCTTTTTGCATCACATTGTCCAAAATCCCACATAGCAAGCTGAACTGCAGGAGTAGGTTGTTCACTCTCTTGGTCTAAGTCATATTCAGATGGGAGAGACCTGCCCTCCATAGAAGGGTCACTGCTGGAGCTCGGTTGACCTCGCTGGGAGCGGTGATTCTTCTGCTTCCTGGGTGGTTTGTGTCCTCCCATCTGTTATGACAGAAGACAAAAAATAAATGTATATCCTGCAGTATAACTTCGAGTTAGAATGGCTTCAAGCCTTCAAACATACAAAAACAAATGAAGCAAACAAGTAGCAGTCTCACAAAGAAATAATACTAGCTAAAAAGATGATGATCCCATAGCAATACCCAAACTTGTTAGGGTGTACAGTTTTGTTTATCTCACGAAATTACGAATAATAACGCCTTCGATTGCTATCAAATTCTGCAAAAGCACCACACAATCGAAGAGCAATGGCAAGGCACTAGACAAACACTCCTTCCATACACTTCAAACCTACAAGATTTAATGCTTCATGCTTTTACACTTCTTATACCCAACTGTTCTCATCTTTACAGTGAAATTCAGAGTAATAGCAACACACAGAACCCGGAAAAGGCGATAACAGAACCTCAACCTTAATCCATTGAATTGGCAAACTTACAAACAACAAATCAAAACACAAATTCAAATAAAAAAAAAAAAAAAAACCTAATAAGTAAGCAGATAATGATCAGAGTAAGTGAAAACGTCTACTAATCATAGATTATTCATATAAAGGACCAAACTTTTGCCCCCAAAATCACATCCCACATTGCATAATTCTTACAAATAGATCAAAAACTAGCCAAGCATAAATTAGAACTTCAACAAAGATGATTTCAAAAAGACCCATCAACTAGTAACTCAATCAAATAACTGGAATTGAACCATGAACAATCATCAACAACAAAGCCTTAGTCCCAAAATGATTTGGGGACTATAAACAATCATCAACTAACACAATTTGCTTCGCATACAAAACTGAAATTAAATCATCTACTCTAAATGATTAGAATACTTCAATAAAAATTAATTCGATTCAAAGACCATTGAATTAATCATAATTTAAAAAAAAAAAAGTAAAGACATAAAAATATAAAGAGTGAACGAGGGCACTCACCGGAGAAAATGGAGAACGGTTTACAGGAACAGCAAAGCGGTTTGCAATTCTTGTTCAGTAAATAAGTAGTGAGGGCGTGAGGCCTGAAGAATTGTAGAGGTACAAAACCTAATTCAAATATTTATTTATTTATTTATTTTAGGAAAATTTGTCAATTACTATCACAAGTTAATACTACTTTGTTAATTACTACCGCAAATTAAAAAAGTTGTGAATAACTACCGCAAAAAATTTTAAGATGTTGCGAATACTACCAAACCTCCATTTAACTCAACTATGACGTCATTATATCACTTTAACCCATAGTTAAAGCCCTTAATCATGACGTCATTATATCACTAATCCATTTTCTTATTTGGGGGGCTGGTTATAGCCCTTAACCATGGTCAAACACGGGTTAAAGGGATATAATGACGTCATAGTTGGGTTTAATGGGGGTTTGGTAGTAATCGCAACATCTTAAAATTTTTTGCGGTAGTAATTCACAACTTTTTAATTTGCGGTAGTAATTTACAAAGTGGTATTAACGTGCGGTAGTAATTGGTAAATTATCCTTTATTTTAAGTTTATTTAGTGACAAATTCATTATACTTGTATATTATACTCCGTATTAATTAATCGTCTAAAAAACAATACTTGAATATCGAAAATATTTTAGAGTATAAAATTAATAAAATCATGTACTACTTCCAAACTACGAGTCTCATGTATTCTTTTTTAATAGCAACATTAGAAATGTTACTCAAATTTCACATACTTCTATTATGATTTTTTGCGATTTATATGTTAAAAAGTATAGTCAAATCTTGTTAAATCGTCATAAATATATATACTATATCATATTAAATTTAAACTAAAATACAATAAAAGGTAATAGTCTTTCAAAAATAATCAAAGGTATTTGTGGTGATTATATTTCGTAAAATTATTGATGAAGAAATGAGAATTTTATTTGGTTTGGAACAATCTTAAATTAAATGTATCCTTCATGCCATAAAAACAGCAACCTATTATTCTTTGCTTCATAAAATTCATTTTAATTCATTTTTTATAATTAAAATTCTTTGATGATATTCCAAAATCGATATTTATAATTAAATTGTTAGATTTTTGAATCCCTAAAAATAACACTGAGAGTATCACCTTATTTGTTTTCTAATCAAAATACACTTTACATTGAATAACAAAGGAGAATACTTAATCTACTCAAAGGTTCAATTTTTTTTTGACAAAGGGAACACACAAAACATAAAAAATAAAATAAAATAAAAAAAGTAAATTCCTACACCTTGCCGCAACAACCAAAGAATGAGCAGGAGAAACAGCAGATCTAGCCACTTTGCTAATACGACAAGTAACAAAGGAATCAAGAACCGCGTCAATATCCTGTAAAATCCAACCCACAACAATATCATTGGGACCAGAACCCGAAAGCAAATTCAAAACATTCTGGCAATCAGTGAAAAGGGAAACACTAGAAAACCCTTGTCGACGAGCATGCTTAAGAGCAAAAAAGCACGCCAACAACTCCGCATGAAAGGAAAAACAAGCCATACAAGCACGAGCCCCACCACCATGAATCAAAGAGGAATTACCATTCCAAAAACACTAACCCACACCAGTATTATTATTCTCACGATCCCAAGCACCGTCAAACATTAAGGAAATATGACAATCGTTCTGAATATTACCACGAAGGGCATAAACCAGAGGAGTCCCAGAGAACCCGGGAGGAATGCTAGCCACAGAAGAGTCAACCAAATGCGCCGCCGTAATTCTATCATACCAAGAAGAGGCCAGCTCAAGAATAACATGAGGAGAAACCACTTCCGACCGAAAACGCACATTATTCCTAGTCAACCAAATAGCCCAACATAGGCCGAAAACACGATCCAAAGAGTGCCAATTACCGGAACCAATAAGAGAAGAGATTAATTCCGTAAACCAAAGAGGCCACGGAGACGAAGGGTCAAGCGACTGAGGAGGGGTAGACGCAAGAACCTCCCAAAATCTCCTAGAAAACTGAAAAGCCCGGAACAAATGGGTCGTCAACTCAAGGCCTGGTGACAGAAGACACAAGTGGGATCAATAGGAAAACCCTTAAGAGACAGAAGACCAGCCATCGGAAGTGCATTGTAAACAATCTTCCAAGCCAACATTTTCCATTTCAGCAGAATGGGAGAACTTCAAAGACGTTTCCACCAAGTAGTAGAACTAGTGGCGGAATCCAAGTTGAAATGCTGAGAAATCAAATACGAGTAAGCCGACTTGGTAGTAAAAGCGCCATCCTTGGTATACTTCCAATAGACAAAATCATCAATCTTCTGCCTAGGAAGCTCAAGGCCTGGAATGATAGAAGCTACATGAGGGGGAAAAAGCGACAGCACAAGAGGAAAATTCCACGCATAAGCATTTGGAAGTAATAACTCAGAAACCAACGAAGGACGATCAGCCAAAGGAATGTGATCCTTAAAAACAACTGGAATCTGAGGAATCCAATTATCACCCAAAATACTGATATTCTCCCCTAAACCCACCTTCCAGACTAACCCCTTTTCCAAAACCGAACCACCCTTCAGAAGACTCCGACTTCCCCACGAAGGTCAGCCCCTCAAGAGAGAGGGTTTCAAAGACAGTAAAGTCGGGTACTTGGCCTTAAGAACCCGAGAAGCTAAAAGTTGAGGCTGTCTCACTAACCGCCAAGTTTGCTTAGCAAGTAAAGCCAAATTAAAGGTACTCAAAGGTTCAGTTGGAATTTGGAAAGTGATGATATCTCAATTGTCACACACATCAAGACCCGACTAAAGCATGACCCAACCCAAAACCGACCCGCATAGTTTATGGAATAAATCCGAATTGACCCGACCCGCATACGTTATGGAATTAATCCGAATTGACCTGACCCGAGTTAACCCGACTCACTCTCACCGACCCAAACCCGACCCGTTTACCCGAATTGAAAGCTCTACCCGAAACCTCCAAAATTTCTCAAAACCGTGGATATTAGTCTTCAATTTCGGAATTTTTTTTATTTTTTTCACCCGAAAATAAAAATTGCCGAAAGTTTACCATGATCCCTAATACCCTCCGGAAGTCCAATTGGCTGGATGGAACCATCCAATTTGCCTTTAAACGACCAATTTACCGGTTTACAATTTGCACCGATTTCATTAACTCAAGCCTACCACGAACATTTATGACAACATATAATGATCATATATGGTTCCAAACGGCATTATATGACCCCGAAATGTATCCCCTAAAATCTCAATGATTTTCTAAACCGTGCCCCGAAACATTCGAAATTTCTCAAAAAATGTGGATATTAGTCTTCAATTTTGGAATTTTTTGACTTTTTTTTCGCCCGGATATAAAAGTTGCCGAATTTTCCACCATGGTCCTTAATACCCTCTGGGAATCCAATTGGGTGGTTGGAACCATCCAATTTGCCTTCAAACGACCAATTTACCGGTTTACAACATGCATTGATTTCATTAATTCAAGCCTACCACGAACATTTTTACATCAAATAATGATCATATATGGTTCCAAACGACATTATATGACCCCCGAGATGTATTCCCAAGAATTTCAAGACTTTTCGACACCAGGCCGTCCAAAGACTCCAAAAATACTCAAAAAGCGTAGATATAGCCTTCAATTTATGAATTTTTTGACTTTTTTAATTTAGCCCGAAAATAAAAATTGCCGAAATATTTACTATGGTATGAAATACCCTCTGGGAGTCCAATTGGGTAGGTGGAACCATCCAATTTGCCTTTAAGCGACCAATTTATCGGCTAATTTACCAATTTACAACTTGCACCGATTTCATTAACTCTAGTCTACCACAAATATTTATGACAACATATAATGATCATACATGGTTCCAAAAGGCGCTATATAACCCGAGATTAGGGGTGTCCATAATTCGGATTAAAACCGAAATCCAATCCAATCCAAACCGAATTATTAATTCGGATCGGATCCGAACTTTAAATCGGATCGGATCGGATTGAGATTTTTTGAAAATTCGGATTTTCGGATCGGATCGGATTGACCCTAATCGGATCCAAACTAAACCGAAAACCGAATTATAAAATTAAGCATGTATGAATATGACTCAAATATGGATTGCTTGCTGTCTTGAGTTGCTGCTGCTAGCTACCTATTGCTGAAAGTTGTGGCTCAAACATGGTGAAAGTTTTTACTTGCTGGTGATGTTTGCCTATTTGGTTCTTGATGTTATTATTGTAATGGTGTTTCCTTATAGGTGTAGTGGTGTACTAGTATTAGTTACTATTGAACAATTTATTTTATATAATCATGTCTATTTTAAAGATTTGTATTAATATTAAGGCTTGGACAAATGTGATTTTTATAATTGTATTTGTATTTATTTTCATTATTGTATGAGTCTGTTAGATGCTAAAAATAAAAGTTTTAATTCGGATTTTCGGATCGGATCCAAATCACAGAATTTTAATTCGGATTGGATTAGGAGAGCAATTCGGATCAGATCGGATTGAAAATTTGAAAACCGAATTATATTTTGTATCGGATTGGATTTGAGCTAAATCCAAACCGAAAACCGAACGGACACCCCTACCCGAGATGTATCCCCTATAATCTAAGAAAGCGTGGATATTAGCCTTCAATTTTTGAACTTTTTGACTTTTTTCGCCTGGAAATAAAAATTGCCAAAATGTTTACCCGATTCCCTAATATCCTCCAGGAGTCCAATTGGTTAGGTGGAACCAACCAATTTGCCTTTAAACGGCATATTTACCGATTTACAACTTGCACCGAATTCATTATTTCAAGCATATCACGAACATTTATGACAACATATAATGATTATATATGGTTCCAAACGACATTATATGATCCTGAGATGTATCCCCTAAAATCTCGAGTCTTTTTGTCAACGGTCTACGAAACCGCAAAATTTCTCACAAAACGTGGATATTAGACTTTAATTTTGGAAATTTTGGACTTTTTTTCGCCCGAAAATAAAAATTGATGAAATGTTTACAATGGTCCTTAATACCTTCTGATAGTCCAATTAGGTGGACGGAACCATCCAATTTGTCTCTAAACGACAAATTTACCGG